CAACCACACCCTTGGGATGAACAGGCAAGAAAAGCAGGGGCTGTGTTCTAATATATAAGGTTTTCCTCCTCTCTTCCTCAACACAACATAGGATACTCACTCCTGATTTCCTGGATATTAGCCAACTTTGCTGAAGTAACAAACAGCCCCCAGTTTCAGTGACTTCCTACAGCAAATGCATTTTCCCCATTTCTGTTAAATACAACTACAGCTCTCTCCAGGTAGAGGTACAGCTTTGCAGGTTTCTCATCTGAGGACTCAGGAGGCAAAACCATCACCATCCAGAACTTGCTATAAGTTGCCCCACACAGTCACATTCTAATATTCTATCACAAACTATGACATCAGTGACTGATAGCCTGGAGTTTCTCCAACAACAAACGAACTCTCTCACCAGAGCTGTGCTTCACAAAAGAACATTGGACTTAATAACTGCTGGACATGGGAAGGGTATATGATATTGGGAAAAAAGATACTGTTTCTTTGTAAATGAATCAAATGTTGTTGAAACCAATGTTAACACTCTCAAAAACTTTGTAATCTATTTGGCTTAACAATCCCTTGTTTGCATGGCTCCTACCCCTTGATAATACTGTGTATTATGCTTGCTCACTATTTTTTAAGATTTCTTTGCTGACAGTTACTGTTATTGGTGAAAATCACTACAGAACAGGTCATGGTCAGTTATCAAACTTTGGATTCTCCCGAGATGAGATGAGCAGGCCCTTAGGGCTGGTAATGGCGCTTCTTCATATTTAAATCAAAGAGGAGGAGATGTTGGGGACCTCTGTTGTGTAAAGTAGAAGTTTCTGCAGATGACTCCTTTCAGCAGAGTACCTGGCATCTTCCTAACTCTCCTTTGAAGTAGCCGCCATAGAAAACATGGCCTCTGGCTCTGGAAATACCATGCTTTCCTGTGTGATTTTTCAAGCAGTCTGACAGTCTGGCAGCCTGGCGGGAGCCCATTTCCACACGTAAATGAGGCATCCCCAAAATACCTATCAGCTAAAGCTTTTACCACTGCCCCTACAATATAAAAATATCCTAGTCTTCTCTCAATAATTTGGAGCTAGAAGCGGAGCTGGAAGAAGGAGCTGGAGCTAGGAACTAGAGCTGGGACACTGAATAAAGAGCTGTACCACTGAATCTGACTGAGCTGAGTCTGTGTCTTCTGCCTGCAATCTAGTCTCCCCAGGGGACAACATTCCTCCGTCACTAACTCACGGATCCCAGCTTCAGCCGCCCCGTACTTTCCCACGTGGTCCAGTGGCCAGTGGAACTCACATATTAAGGAAAGTACACGGGTGAAATAAGGGCGGGACCCGGCTAGACAACACTCCAGCAGCAGAGAGCCATGGAAGACACAGGGAAGCAGCAGAGAGAACCCCCGCAGAACTCGCTGCCTTCCAGACCACGTGTAGGGGACCGATCCCCGCAGGACCGCGCGCCCCATATGGCCCTTTCTCATTGTGTCATGAGGGGGAAGGAAGCCATGGTCCTAGCACAGAGGCAAGACTTTCGCACTTCATCACGGGGTTGTGATCATTGCCATTGTTTTCCCCATCATCTATTGGAAACAATACTTCTTGTTCAGCTGATGAACATGCTAGCCACAGGTAATCATGTCTGTTAAGCATCTTGCTGTTGCCAAACAGAAATACCAACTAAAATTCCTACACACAATAAAGATTATTTATTAAGGTAGCCATAGTGTGATGAGAACAGGCTTCAGGTATGCCTGGGTGTGAAGGCTAAACTACATCATCAAGAACCTCCAGCTTTATCTCAGGGAATCTCTGATGGCTGCCAGCTGCAGCTGGAATAATTCATGCTTTGGTTTGCTACCCCAGGAATTGACCACAAGTTCCATGCTCTACTCTGAATGAAACAACTTGTGACAAATTCTCAGGACTGAAACAATCACGGTTAGTAAAAGAATGTGAGCTGGCAAATTGACTTCTGCCCACAAAGCCTCCTGGCTCTGTTGAATGGAGAAAAGATAAGGTCAGCACAGGAGAAGTAACAAAGCAGGCCCATAGTGGGAGTCAGAGAGTTGGCATGCAGTCATAATGCTGCCTTGTAAACTTTATCGGTGTTAAGGAGTATGTCACTGTCATACAAAGAGGTAAGACACTCTAACAAAGAACATACCATATTTATATATCCATGAGAATTCAGTGTGCTTCTAACAGAAAACACGACAAGTAATTCGAATCTGGGTTTTAGAAACTTCCAGTATATTTTTCTACTATGAAGACTTATATTTGTAAAACAAATTGCCCAGTATTTAGGAGCTCTTCATTTCTGAATGAAAAAATAATACCTCACTATAAATTGATAAATATTTGTGGTGAGAAAATATAAATCTGTTCCATGGCCCTTAAGATCTATCTCTGATGGCCTCAGGGTTATTGGAGACCCCAGGTATAACCTAGCCTAGCTTGATTCACTCTTTTATCATAGACAGAATATCCTTTACCGGGCAAGAGACAGCCATATGAGGACACTATATTCTAATTGAGGAGGAAGGAATTGTAAATTAGCATACCTAACGTATCCCAAACATCAAATCTCTTTTTTCCCAAAAAAGAGCTTGCTCTTACACCCAGAGCAGGGCTTGGGAAAACAAGCCATATGGCAGTATGTGGGGATACTGAACAGGACAGATTCTGGAGAATCCAGCTTACAAATACGGCTTCAATCTTTTATTTGAAGTTTCTGGGATTTCCAGAGCATCAGCCACGGTCATACCAAAGGAAATGCCAAAACTGTATTCTAAACACAAATAGAAGTGATTTTGTATTATCTGTTTTTGTTCTTCTCCACCAGCTTGGAAAATTGAGCCAACTGCATGTGAGCTTCTCAGTCACAGTGAGACAGACTGCAGCCTCTTCTGAATTATTCATGTTAATTACAGAGGAGAAATGTCATGAATAAATTAATTTTACAGATGAACAAAAATATCTGTAATTCCGTGACATATTGTATTTCTCTTTGAAATAGAATGTTTCACAGTACATTAGAGTTATTTATAAAGCTTGTCTATTAGTCTTGGAGATTAGGGGTACCCCCCAGTTATAAGAAATTGAGACAGTCACTCAAAGAACAAAAATCATGCAGTCACAGTTGGACATTTCAAAGGATTTTGAGTATTATAGAAGACATGGATAAGAATACTGAGATTCACCCAACAGTCAGATAATGTTGTGACATTGCTATTGGGAACACAAGAGGCCTGGGGAGGAGCAACGTGGGGGAATCATGAATTCCAGAGCAGAGTATTGAAGAATGGGGTGCGTGGACAGTTGGTGAGGGAGCGAACAATGACCATGTGGTGAGACCAGCAGATTCTAGGCTTGCCAAGAAAACCAAGCTACTCCCTAGCGACCTGGCCACTCCAGAGGAAGTCCGGGCTGGCTGCTGCTGCACCTGCATCAGCATCACAAGTGGTTATAGCGATTTAGATTAAAGTGTTGTCATTCGGAGAGCTGAGGGTCTGGAGGGAGTATTTATAAAGTGTAAACATCTGGATGCCAGAATTGATCAATAATCATGAACACTGGGTTTGGTCCCTATGCAAAGTTGTTAACAAATTAAACAGATATTTTTTAAGTTCATTAAAATTTGAAAATTATTGTTCTGGGGTGTTGAATCCATAATATAATCTCCAATGCAAATAAATGAGTCAAATGCCTGGACACCACCAGGCATCACAACCCAATCATTGAATGTTTTTACAGTTCCCAAGTTGAGTCTCATATGGTCAATTTGAAAACAGCTTGTCTAGGAAACTAGAGAGAACCTGTTTTCCTGTTTTCTGTTTTTATTCTTTCATTCCTTTTCATGCCCTCAGTGACATTTCAGAGCAAATCACCATCTATTTCATTGAGTATTAGAACCCACTTTTCTATCATTAAAGTAATGACCATCTGTATTTGTGTCCGTGTGTGCCAAAATTCTGAAACAAATCTATAAGCTAGTATAAACATCTTTGCATACCTTCACCCCAAAACATAATCCAGGTAATTGTGAGAGTATCATGACCACAAAATGTTTAGAGAGAAAGGATTTAGTAGTCTTGATCCCTGAGTGTTAGAATTAAACATTCCAAGAGCTCTTTGTTTCATGAACATAGTTTGGTGGTGACATGTCTTTCTGCATGTGTGACTGTTATCAGCTACTCGTGAGTTTTCCAGTATGTATTCCTTCTTGCCTGAACACATGCTTGTTGCAAGAGCATTTTGGAGACACAGTGGAAAGACTTTATGTCCCTTATTCATGATGTATTCATTTATCGCTATAATGACAACACTGTCTTTTAAATGAACTACTGTCCTCACACCCATATCCACAGTCACTCTTCAATGGTGGCTTCTACTGAGTTATAAAGGGACAAAGGATATACTTAACCATGACTTAATTTTTGATTGTACCAGGACATACAAAAATATCTGTGGGCTAGTCTCTATTTGCTTTAGGTAGGAACGATGACAAAGACAATAAAGGCTATCAAAACTGTGACTGTGGGGGATGACTGCATTTGTTTTGTTCACAGAAATAATGGAAGCAGCAGAATGTTTAGCACATTAATAACCAAGAAACAGTAAAAGCAGCGCACTGCTCATCTCTCCCTGGTGAAGTTCTCAGTGGCATCTGTCTAGGGCCAGAGGTGTTTCATTAGAAATGAATGTTTCTGAACAGAGTATAAAACATGGTCCTATCTGATTCCAGGTGTGGTAAGTGACGAAACAGTTGTCCTTCTAACTGAAATCTTTCTACATAATGACCATGTGAAAAGGCAAAGGCAAAATCTATTACAAGTGTGAGCTTTCTTGCCTTCCTAATAATGTCCTCAGACTAGTATGTGCACTCAGTAGTGTCCTTGCATGAGAAAACCTAATCAGATCTTATTTTGCTCTCAACCTTGTAATTAATAGAACCATCATAAGCATCTATAATACTGGACAATTTTTTTTGTACAATAACCCAAATATACTTACTACTATCTTCTTGAGGTTAAAAATAAAACTGATCTCATGGATGGAGGAGGCCAATACAAGGTGAGTCTGGGATGCCTTGCTGTAGCAAAAAGGAAGTAGTTAAAAACAAAATGGCAGTTTATTTCAAAGGGACAAAGGAGCTTGTCCAAAAAAGACACTAGTAATCAAAGCTGGGACAATTTGAAGCAACAAAAATAACCAATATGCATTGCGTATAATTCAGTATATCAACTATATACCCAATGGTCATACCATTGTGAATAAATGACAAAAAATTGGGAGAGAAGAGACAAGTCTTTCTTAGAGGCTTTCAAATAATTTATATAAGTACTCTTCCCTCTGAAGTAGAGCTGAATCCCTTGTATGTGTGTGGTGGTGTGTGTGCGGGTATGTGTATGAAATAAATTTATTTATTTGATTTCAAATAATAAAATAGAAGAAGAGAAAACCAATAACTTTGTAGTAGAGAAACCTGAAAAGCACATCCTTGGCCCGATAATCCAGGTTGTCATCAGCAGTGATGAGCCAAATGATGCAGCCACATGAAAGAAGGCTGAGAAATTTCCCAGACTGGAAGGGACCAAAGGAGCAGACAAGTGTTGTGTCCTGAGGACAACTAAATACTGTTCTGTGTCCTGGATGAATCCTAGACCAGTTGAGAACATTAAATCCTAATGTCCAACTCACAGCATCCATCAGTGTACTGGTGCTGGGTGTTAGTTCTGACAAGTGTATCCTGGTCATGTAGATGTCAACAGTAGCAAAGATCAGGTCAGTGGTACTTAGAATATTCCACACTCTTCATGCTGTCTGCAAGACTTTGCTGCAAATCTAAAACTAGTCCAAACTAAAAATGTATTAAAATTATAAAAGGCAATCAGGTTAACATTCTAAAAACATGTTGTAGAATATTGTCAAAGGAGAAATATTTGACACATGATATGCACATAATTTTTAAATTATGTGAATATGGTGTTTGTGAAAGAGAAGTTGAGAACATGCTATGGAAATTTTCTGTAGAAAATTCAATAAGGCTTCACTTCATTCTGACAATTCAGGAATTCTTCCTGTGTATAATATAAGTTGGTTCTCTTTTACTACAAGAAATAAAAGTTTATCATCCAAATATTTTCAAGGGGTAATTTTCTCACCTCAATCAAACTTGAGATGATTCAATATAGCAAAATGTGCAAAGATTTCGCTTGAGGTTCTGTTACCATTCACTGTTAGACCTCTAACCCAGCCATGCTGCTGACTCTTCTGCTGATCGCCAAGGATTACTCACTCTTGGTCTCCAGCTGTCTATGCTTGGCTCTAGCTGAGGTCTCAAAGACTCAGTCTTTATTCTGTTGTCTGAAAGGAGTAAAAGAATCTGGAGCAGAGTTTATTTCCATCATTAAAATGCTCCTTTGCAAGGGCCATGTCTCTGAAAAGCCCACATCTGAGCTCAAGGGGTAGATCCCAGAGCTGGCAGAATCTTTAAGAGGTGGCTCCTGAAGGGAGGCTCCAGGTTCACTTCTGGTGTCCTCCATGGAATTCTGGGAAGCTTTTCTCTTATCTCTAGACCAGGAGGTACACACTTTGCTCTGTCTGCTGCTTCCTTGCTGAGTGCCTTGACTTAGGCCCCAGCCTTGGGCCAACTGATGATGGACCTCCCAAACAGCAAAAATAGATCTTTTCTCTTTGTGAGTTGGTGTATCTCATGTTTTTGTGACAGCAACAAACGTGTAACATAAAATTTACGTATTTTCATCGTTTGGATAGTCTTAAAAATTAGCTTAGCCACCTTTGACAGTTTTTCTGAGTGGCCTGAGGATCATCTGCCTTGAATTCACCTGGGATGCTGAGTCCGACCTAGAGTACTGACCTGGCTCCTGGCTATGTTTTGGTCTGCCATTGTAGAAGTCACAATTCTGGACTTGCCACCATTTTTATCCCCAGTTTTAGTTTCCTTCTAGGGAAAAATGTGGAATTTTGGGGCCATCGCCTAGCTCCAGATGATGTTAAGGCGCTCTCAAGTTCAGAGGCTGGGAGGAGTAGGAATTAATCCTCTCTTAGGAAGTCTATCATCAGTTTGAAAATAAAGAGTGTATGAAATTAGAGCTTTTTGTGACTACATTCATCTCCACATTTCCTGGGAAGCTGTCCAGCTAGGATGCCTACTGAGCCACAGCTGCATGGTGCTTTGCTGAGAGCGTACTTATGTAGTTAAGCATAATTTCCCCTGACTCGTTTTTCTCTCTTGAGAGGGCTTCTTTCTACACTTGCTGGATGAATAATAGAGTGGGTGCTACCTAGTGTCAAATAGGATTAGGCTGAAATCCCGAAGAACAGATTGTTGTAGCTGACACCAACTGGTTTAAATTTTTCCTGAAATTAGACTCTTCTTTGCAAGTTTAGACTAGTTGGAAGGTGTGTATATGTTTTACGCTTCTTGGTTTTTCTTCAGTAGACAGTTTCCACTCTGGACACAGTGTTCTCAGTGTCTTCTCATGTTGTTTGAAGTAGCCAAATGAACTTTCATGCTAATTAGCTTTAAACAACAAAAAATGCTTCTATTCACACAGTATCCAGCTCCAAATTGGCATTATCTTATTTATGTCATGTTTTGGAGACATAATAACTGCTTGTTATTAACTGCAGATCAGAACTGGAATAAATTAAATGTAAATGGGCCATTTAAGAAAAGCAGTGGGAAGTGTCCTGAAAGCAACATCCCTTGGTTTAATTCACTGGTGTTTTTCCCATAAAATACTGATGTTGACTTCGTAACTCAAAAATACCTCTATTTAAATTGATTTATAAATGCCTTACTAAAAAAATAAGACCTTTAAAAAAAGTGATTGCTGCTGATTGAGCCTTAAGAATCAGACAAAACAAATCCAAAGAACTACTCACTATTCCTGCTGCTAGCCAGACTTGTCTGGAACCTCCCCACAGGCTCCTGACCATAACATAGGCAGAAGGTTGTCTGTGGCACTCCCATGGCAAATTTAATAGAGACAAGTAATATTTAAAATAAATTATTTTGTTCTTTTAATATTCAGTCAGATTAGTCACAACTCAGTCTTATATTATACAATCCTTTCCATGATTTTTTGACTGTGTGTGTGTGTGTGTGTGTGTGTGTGTGTGTGTGTGTGTGTGTGTTCTGGAAAATACATGTATTTTCTTGATATTGAGGTATGGGGTAAAAGATAGACTTTACAGCTTGAGAAGACAAATTAGGCCTCTTTTGTGTAAAACTTCATTCATTCAGCAAATACTCCCTTGGTCCTTACCACGCATGGCATCCGAAGTGTGAAGAGAAGCTGAATCCTGTGCCTGTTCCCTGCTGTCATGGAGCTGTCATAGACCATTATTTCATTCCTGAAAGTATAATCATTTCTGTCACTTTCCTCATAGATGGGTTCATCACTTATTAGTTATCAGTATGTTTTGTTACACAATACAACAAAAAGGAAATAGAAAGTTTACCATTGTAGAAGCTATAAGCATGTATTAATATTAAAATAATTCAGGATCAAGGCACTAAGAGTTTTGTAGGACTACTGATCAAAGCACTTATTATATAGTTCAGTCAACAAATGACAAAACAAGAAAAAAGAAATGTATCAGATACGATGCTCATTTATGATGTAAAAATCACACTTCCTAAAAGTTAGAAAATGGATCTTTTAGAATTTTATCAGAACAAACCAACCCTGAGCACAGATGTAGAAACTTGTGTTCCTGAAGTAATGATATGATATAAATAAATAGTATCTTATAAAAATGTGAAGGGAAGTTCTTGCAGCTGGAGAGGTGATTCAGAGGTTAAGAGCACTGGCTGCTCTTGCAGAGGACCTGGGTTCAAATCCCAGCACTCACATGGTGGCTAACAACCATCCATAACTCCAGTTTTAGGGAATCTGACACCTTCTTCTCACTTCCACAAGCACTGTACAGCATCGGTGCACTATACATGCCGGCAATACACTCATACTCATAAAATTAAAAAAATATTTTTATTGTGAAATTCTTAACCTTTATAGATAGTTCTTATTTAGAAAATTATGTAGATTAATTACATTAATTTTCTGTAATTCATTAAAATCTCAGAAAGCAGTTCATCATAAGATTAATTACATTCATACTAAAAATTGAAGTCTAGCCATGTGAGTACCTATTCAATAAATTCAAAAGCTACCTAGAAACTGGTTTCTGCCAACTTCCACTTCATCTTAATCCAACCGTTCACCATTACTAAGTCAGTCATGGATTTCTTCTGATTGTCAAGGAAACCACAATATGAAGAGGACTGAAAATTGTGATAATCCCATTTCCCATAAACCTGTAAACAAGAGATAAACCTAGTAGAGAAGGCATAAATCCATGCACCATCCCACTGGGGAAAGTGGGCTTCAAGTTCCCTTCACCGAAAGGCTCTTCAAATGTGTGGCATGCTGTTTATAGTATGAAAAAAAAGGACAAGGAAGAATCTGAAGGAATCTTCAAGAGGCAAAAGGATAAGTGAAGAAATTAATGAACCCTGCAGTGTGACGACAGCATTCATTGCAAACAAGCTTCCTTGTTTGTCCAATTTAAAAGTTGGAATCTCGGGGCTGGAGAGATGGCTCAGTGGTTAAGAACACTGGTTGTTCTTGCACAAGACCCGGGTTCAAATCCCAGCACTCACATGGCAGCTAACAACTGTCTGTAACTCCAGTCCCAGGGTATCCAACAGCCTCTTCTGACCTCTGTGGGCATTGCATGACATGGGTGCACTTACCTACATGTAGGCAATGCATGCATACTCATAAAAATAAAAAACAAAATAAAAAAATAACATAGAATAAAAGTTGGAATCTTGAGCCTGAAATTCTGCCAGTATTGCTTGTCTCTGTTACACATTAGGAACATTTTACTTATTAGCATAACATAATCAATTTTTCAGAAGGTTTAATGAAAAAGAAAACCTTCAGCAATAATATTTTTGTACATCCTTAAATGGTTTTGCAAAAAGAACTTTATTAAAACTCTAGAATTTAAGTTTGAAGGGGGCTGGAGAGATGGCTCAGTTGGTTAAGAACACTTGCTGTTCTTCCAGAGGACCCGGTTTCTATTCCCAGCACCTACATGGCAGATAACAACTGTCCATAACTCCAGTTTCAGGTTATCTGACACCCTCCTTTGGTCTCTGCATGGGTGTTGAATGCACATGGCATACTTACACACATGCAGGCAAAACGCTCATACACATAAAATAAAAATAACAAAATATTTTAAAAGAAAAATTAGATGTGTGAAGGGTTTTCAGTTTCTCCCTTTAAATTTTGAAGATATAAGACAAATTTAGACAAAAAATAGGAAAAGGAAGAAAAGGAAGAAAGGAGGAGGAAGAAGGGAGGAAGATGAGGAGGAAGAGAGAAAAAAATGTTAAGAATGCATTGGAATTTTATCATGACTCGTTCTGATCCCTTAAGGACCCACGTGAAAGCAGGAGGCCAGTTGGAAAAACTTGTGCAAGATATTGATAGTAAGGAAGGTGAAAGATAACGTTCAGCTATTTAGTGTAGACCAAAACAGATCCCACACAGGCACCTGCTCCAATCATGAGCCCACATATGTGGCATAGGTCTGTACTTTCTTTATTGACAAGTTACCTCCCTGTTATATTGACAAGTTACCTCCCTGTTATAGCCCCTCATACTTCTCCTTAGCAACTTTCCATTCACTGATCCTTGCCCTGCTGCCTGGGCCTAAACCCTGACCCATTCAGGCTGTGTTCAGAGTGAAGCACAGTTCTGTACTGAAATCTCTTTCCCCTCTTGCTACACTTCCTGAATAAGGTCTGATCTTACTGCTGTAATTACTGTCTGTCTCTGGTTTGCTATAACAGTATCAGTTGGGTATTTCAATGCCCATCTCTCTGTGTGGTCCGCTCTTTAAAATGCTACGAATATGAGTACGAAAGCTAAGCTGAGTCCCTGCTCTGCAGTTCTCTCACATCTCTTCCTCCTTAAGTAGCCGACAGAAAAATAAGTGCTTCAAAAACATAAATAAATTAGAAGTCATAAGAATGAATCTTATCAAATATTAAGGATATGGGTACCTTTTGCTGTCTTAAATATTTGCTTCTGCCAATGAATACATATGTTCAGATTTGCAAATTTGATTTTTAAGGTGTTCTTCACACTAAATAATTTTTAAACTAGAAAAGTCCAAAAATCTTTAAATCAGCTATTAACAGAGCTTTCAAGTTTTAAAGATTAAAAAAGAAAGTTCAAAATCTATTTAGCTTGCTTAGAATTCATTTGACAGTCTTCTCTAAATGGAAACAGTAAATGAAATGCAATGATTTAAGGCACACAGGCTTTCTCTAGAATAATAATGGCTTTTCCAAATGAATATTTGATGTCCCATATTTTCTCAAGAGCCAATTTAAATTGCTTTGTGAAAGACGTTCATCATGCTGTGGCCCGCTGCCCTAGGGGTGCTATCTGAAACATCGGCTGCTCCAGCTGCCCTTCTCTTCACCCAGGACATCCCTATTTCGACACGTAACACATTTCGTTTTTATTGCTGCTTGTCCCCACTGTACTGTGCACAGGAAAGGGGAACTGTACTAACTTTGTGGTCATTTTTCACACAGATACTAAATATTAGCTCATGTAGTTCACATTTTAAATAGAAAAAAGCACATCATTTTCTATAAAAGTACAAATGTGAACAACTGTAATAGTAACAATTATGCAAGTTTTACAGTGCTTCACCACTTGAAAATTACTTTTGCATACATTTTCTCACTTGAAGATCTGTACAAGTCTCTGGAATGAATATAGTAGTTTATTATCTTAACAGCAAATGGAAATCTAAATTCAAGAAGGTTTCATTTACTCTGCCTAAATATCTAACTGCAGGGACATTCAACAATTCGTGGAAGAAATTAGCTTTCATCTCTTAGAGGTTCCATGTGTAAACTATGTATAACCCTTTGCTAAAACAGAACTTCTGAAAAATGTGAAGAATAACACACATGTGACATAGGGCATCATTTTGCTTTGCTCTGTGGTGAGAGTGGGGAAAAATTCGACTGCCTAGCTATAATTCAAATACAATGTTTGCTACAATAGGTTTTATTATATTTAAGGTACAATTTGTCTTTCTGGTATAAATGAAACATAGCGCTAAGAGTTTAGTCACAAAATGTTACCATCCTGTGAGCTTCATCTAGAACAGGACAGTATGTGATCAATTCCCTTATTACCAAGTAAAACAATCAACCAAATGTTCCACCAATGCAGTTCATGTCAGAGGTCTGGAACAGGTTGGCTTAGAATGAAAGGACCTTGTCCATTAAGAGGACACTGGCAAAGTCCATGGGAGATCCTACTCATCAGACTTCCCTTTAAAAACCTCAGGTAAGCGCCTCTTTCATTTACAGCACAGATAAAATGGAATGCTACTTTTTTCTGTATTGATCATTATATCTTATGAACGCATGTATAAGCTTATGTTCCACGCGTATTTATATCTTTGAAGTAACAATGAACAACGAATACAGTGTTGTGATTTAAGCATACCTGTGAATTTGAGCTGTGAAATATGTACTGCTTAAGCTCATCTGTGACTTTGAACAGCTTAGTTAATGCTATTTAAGCACGTATGCAAACCTTGGGGCTCAGGTACAAATGTCCCATTGGGAAATCTTTTCTCCTTAGTGTCACAAGGGCCTTAAGTTTCTGACAGTTTCCCTTTGTTTTCCTTCCTGTCCTTGTCATCCAAACCATCCTAGCAGGGAATAAAAATCAGTGAGATGCTTTGCAACCAGCTTCAAAAAAAGCCACCTTTCTCTAATGAGGCACTGAGAGGAGACAGCCATGATGGGATAAAATGACAGTTATGTGGAACTTTCTATACTTCTGGTACACTTTTCACTAGAAACAGATGAAAGTTAGGAAATCTAGATGATCAGGAAAAATATTGCAAAAAAAATCATAGCCAGCTATAACTACTACATGAAAACATACTGCTTTGAAATTTATTTATAATTCAGTACAACCAGAGTTCAAATATATCGAGAGTTCCAATTTTAAATTATGTTGGGCATTATTTTAATTTTCTAGTGAGATGCTTTCAAAATAATTTTATGTCCTAAACATCCAGTACTAATAAGATGAAAATATTTCCCCAACTGAAAAAGAAAATTTGAATCATCTGAGATCCCGTCAAACAGCACAGAATTACTCTCGTCCTGACAAAAGCCACTGCAGGGGAAGAGGTTCATCCCGATTCTGCGTTCCTGGGTGAGCACCAGTTTGTGAGTAAAACATAGATAAAGATCAGAACTAATATTGAGTCATGCATAGTCCTGTGTCAGCCCTAGA